GCTGTCCTCCTCTCTCATTATAAAGAAAATTATTTGCGGGTCTTATCTATGAAATTGACATGCAACATGCAGCAGCAGTAGCAGCGTTGGACAACGGTTGTCAGAATTCGCTGAGGCAATGAGTGCTCCCTCTCTCCCACGCACTCTGAACGATTGAATAAACTGTGCGTGGCGGACGAACCGTCTACTGGTCAAGCAGCAAAAGTCGATAATGCTTTCTACAAAAGCTTTTCGCTCCCTTTACTCCAAAATTTCATTTTCATTGACATAACGAAGATTTTTGTTCGATTGCGGCAGCTGCGGTGGTTGCAACAGATTCTGCAATTTCATGTAAATTACAGTATTTGATGGGGTGTCAGCTATTAAGGACGAGATGAATCATAAAATGGAATAGTAAATAAGTTTAGTGGGACTGGGTAATGATTTTGAGTGGCGCACGACCAAGTGGCATTGATCAGAGAAATTTTCGAGGAGAATTTTCACTTGATACTAAGTTTTTAGTAAAAGCTCGATATTGAAGCTCGTTGAAAGGACTTGTTGAAAGTTCGAAATGAAAGCTCGCGATTAGAGCTTATGAATAAAAGCTCGAAATTTTGTGACGTAAAATAGTTTTTAACTAAAGCTTGCATTAAGTTTTGTGAAAGCTTCTTTAAAACGAAAGCTGTGATCGAATTTTTCACATGTTAAGACGAGAAAACAAGGTCTGAATTGAAGTAAAAAAAAAATAAAAATAAATGAGAAAAGAGTTGAAAATAAAGACAATCAGCTCTACAAAGAAACTATTATTAAATTAAAAAATTTATGGAATAAAATAAAGTGAAAAATCCGCTTGGATAAAGTTAATTTTCCAATTTGATTGACGGCCAGGAAGGTTTTGCTGTGTGTTTGGTGGGATTGGAAGGGAATTATCCACTATGAGCTGCTCCCATATGGCCAGACGCTTAATTCTACCATCTACTGCGAACAACTGGACCGCTTGAAGCAGGCGATCGACCAGAAGCGTCCAGAATTGGCCAACAGGAAGGGTGTAGTGTTTCACCAGGACAACGCCAAACCACACACTTCGTTGATGACTCGTCAGAAGTTACGGGAGCTCGGATGGGAGGTTTTATCGCATACCACCATATAGCCCGGACATAGCGCCAAGTGATTACCACCTGTTCCTGCCCATGGCGAATGCCCTTGGTGGTGTGAAGTTGAACTCAAAAGAGGCTTGTGAAAAGTGGCTGTCCGAATTCTTCGCAAATAAGGAGGGGGCTTCTACGAGGAAGGTATTATGAAGTTGCCGTCTAGATGGAAACAGATCATCGAACAAAACGCCGCATATTTTAACTAAATCCGATCACTGTAACACTTTTTATAAAGCATTGAATGAAGAGCAAAAAAGCGGAAGGGAGTTATTTGACAACCTTATATTTTCAATTTAATTTTATTTGCTTCTATATTATTTTATTTTGTATTATTATATTTTATTTTGCTCACATTTTTTATTTATTTATTTCAACTTAATTTATTTTATTTTATATATATTTTTTTCTAATTAAATTATGTTATTTCATTTTATGTTATTTATTCCATTTTATTTTAAATAATTAATTTTTTTGTTTTATTTTATTTAATGTTATTTTATTTTATCTTAGATTATTTCATTTTATGTTATGATAAATTATTTTATTTTATTTTATTTTATTTTGATCTATTTATTTTACAAAATTTATTTTATTTTATTTAAATATATTTCATTTTTAATTTTTTTTTAATTTAATAATTTCAATATTATTGTTCTTAATTTAATATAATTTTGTTGTGTCCAATTTTATTTTATTTTACTTTTTTCAATTTATTATATTTTTATAATCTATTTTGTTTTATTTTTTTTAATTATATTTGCTTCATTTGAGTATATTAAATTTAATATTAATTTTTTTTATTTTATTTTTTATTTTTTTATTCTAATTAAGTTGTATTATTTCATTTAATGTTATTTATTCTATTTTATTTTAAATAATTTATTTTATTTAATTTTATTTTATTTTTTTTTTACTTTTTTAACATTTTAATTAAATAGTTTTAATATTATTGTACCTTATTAAAAATAATTTAGTGGTGTTAAATTTTATTCTATTAAATTTTTTTAATTTATAATTTTTTATTAATTCTATTTCATTTTTTTATTTGATTAAATTAAATTTAATCTGAATTCATTTTATTTCATTCTAATTTATTTAATTTATTCAATTTAATTTTTTTATTAAACCAATTTAATTTAATTTTATATAATATAACATTTATTTATTGTCTTATTATTGAATATTGTGGAATAGTTTCATATAATTTTATTTTATTTTATTATTTATATTTTACATTATGAATATATTTTTTTTAAATTTTTTTTTATATTATTTCAAGTTATTTTATTTTTTGGTTTCTTTTATGTTATTGGGTTTTATTTGATTTAATTCAATTTAGTATGCATTTATTTTATTCTGTTTGACTCTAATTAATTTTATTTAAATTTTTTAATTTTGGTTTTTTTTTATTTAATATAATTTTATTTTGTTTGTTTTATTTAAATTTTTAAATTTTCTATTTTAATTTATTTTATTTCATATATATATTTTATTTTACTTAATTTCCTTCTATTTTATTTATTTATTTCTTTTTTTTGTGCAATATTTACTGTTGTTATTTTTCCACTAATTTAGTTCCCACATTCTTTAAACGCAATCACTTCGTCTCAGGAATTTTCAAATTGGCAGTTGAATACTTTTGTGTCTCTACTCATATATACAGATATACATATGTATGTATACCTGATGTGCTATTCCACACATTTGCCGCAATTATGGCAAGTAAAGAAAATGGAAAAAAGAAAAACGTTATTGGAAAACTAGAAATTATAAACAAAAAGCAATTTTCTCGCTAACGACATCGATGCCCAGATGTAAAAGTGTAGCGGACGCCTTGCACTAAACCAAATATACAAGTATGTGTATGTATGTATGTATACAAACAAGCAAAGAGAGGTTTACCTACAATCCAGACATACATACAGTACATACATATAGTACATACATACACACTTATTGAAAAAAAAAGAAGAAAATTGTTGTGAAATGGAAAAGAAGAAATCTGCATTTGGAATTTTTTTTCCTTTCTTCATGGTCTTCGGCTGTGCAGTTATGCAGGCCAAGCAAATACAATAAATACACATAAATATAAATGACGGAGGAGAACAACAACTGCAACAACAGATGCATTAATTTAGCACACCTGTGTGTGTTTGTGAATTACTTGAAGGCTCCTCACTCTCCCTCTGCGACGAAAGCTAAAGTTTGTTGCTGCTGCTTCCCGAGCCTTTGCCACTTTGCAGTTTTCTTTCTCTGGTTTTTTTTTTAGTTTGTTATTGGTAATTTAATATTATAAAGTTGGTACAATAACAACAATTCCATACGATGTTTATATGCCATACTTAATGCCTCATTGGCCTATTGGCCTGGCCAGCTTTTACTTAACCATATTGACCTACTCACTAACGGACAATGGTTTTTTTCCGTTCCATATGCATGTTAATGGCCAGCGAGAATACGGTTTCAGGCTACCATTTCACTTTTTCTCTCGCGCCGAGGAGCATTCACTTCACCATGCCGCCATCTGCAAACGTCTTCCTGGGTTTCCCACTATTGGAAATTGGATTTTTTCAACTTTCAGCTTCGCTGCGTTTCAATGGTTTCGTTATGGCTATGCGAAGTAGTTAAAGTTATGGCATTGCTATTGTCTATTTATGACCTTTTTATGCGTATGTGTGTGTGTGTGTGTGTGCGTGTGTGAAAATCGCTGTAAAAGTGGAAGGGAAGACAAAGAAAATACCAGAACGGTAAACGAGATTCGAGGAGAAGAAACGTATTCGATTTGTGTGCAAATACTAGTATTTGTATGTTTGAAACTACATCCGCCACTAAAGGCACAATGAAAATTCACCTGCTGATTCTTCTTCCTCCTCGCCACTCTTTCTTTTTTCTAGCTCCCTTCCTCTTGCATGCGTTTTTTTTTTGTTTACTTTGGTTTCTGCTTTCCTTTGCGTCTGCTGTTGTACGGCATTTTCTCTTTGCCTTTGATACTACCAGCCCCGCACTCCCCGCTCCCATACCTAAATTTCTATATCGCTTATCTTTCTTATTCTTCCCTCAAATTACACGTCTCTTCTTTTGTTCACTCTAAATGAGCCGAAATATTCGATTTGCGCGTTTGTCAATATTTACTTGTCCATTGTTCCGAGTTCGAGTTCGAGGAAATGTGTGTGATGTTTTGTGTAGTTTTGACTGGTATTCGATTTATTTTTGAAGGTAGCAATACAGGGTGTCGGCAAAAGTGGCGAACTATTAAATGTTTGGAAACTCGCTGTGGTGGCCTGAACGATTGAGATGCATAGAGAATCCAGCTAACCGTTATCAAGAAACCAAAGCCAACGTCGATAAAGTCCGAGATGTGGGCGAGGACTGGTTGAGCTACTGAGCTTATACTGCGGCTGGGAGACCTCAATGGAAGTGCCAAGCTGACACTATCTATGGAAAAATGGACTTTGCAGACACTGTAAAGTTTCATTAGGATTAACACCAGTTCGTATGTGGTAAATTTTTTGGCTCTCAATTGTAGTCTTCTGTTTTCTATTATGACTCTTTTACACCCACAACGATATTTTCAGCCAATTCTCGTTCGGAAAGCCAAGGTATTTACAAATTGTTGAACCTTCTTGGGTGCTCGGTGAGCCCACCTCAGTTTCAGAACTTTTGGCTTACTGAGATTTTTTTCTTTTTATTTAATTTATAAAAATCGCTTCTTTTTCACTTTTATTATTTTAAAGATTTGTATAAAATTTTAGTGTCTTTCGACCTATCAATCCATAGAGTGTTTTTTTTTGGAGCCTTGTCACTAGGCAGCCTGGAAGTTTTTTCTTTTTATTTCATTTATTCGATTCACTAGAAATTATGCTCTTTTTTCTTTCTATTTCTAACGCTTGAATGTCTCTGTCAGAGCTTTATTAAAGCGGTAACTGCGGTTCCTTCATTAAATCTATTAACATTTATATTTAAAAGTTTTGTTGCAGGTTAAATTCTAATATTTCAAGTTTTTAGTTTCTTTTTGATGGGCTTTTAATCACTTTACAGCCATCCCGCAAGATTTTAAGAGTTGATTTAGCCCATTGGGAGCTTTATTGCAGAGATAATCTCCTCTTCTTTATGCAGCCCGAAAGCTTTTGTGCTTTTTAAACTTATTTTTACTACTCTCCTAATATTTTAGTTTCCTTTGATCTGTGAGCCTGTTATTTGTATTAGGAACTGTGCTGATCATCATTTCGTCGTCATCTCAAGCATTTCTAAAGCCTCTGTGAATCTGTGCTAGTCGTTGGAGGCTCTTTAGTAGTCTTATCAGATAGATATTTGTTGAAATCGCTTTTTTGAAGTCTAAAAAAATATATTAAATTGAGAATCATATAAAATATTTACTTACCTTCTCTTATATTTCAGAGCTTGTAGAAATTTTTGACCTCTTTAAGTCTGTTTAAAGCTCCGATAAGCTTTTGTAAAGCTTTTTTCAGTCTCTCGATTTCATATTTCTCGTAATTTTACATTTTTCGGTTTAATTGAATTTTTTTACTAATTGTAAACATCAAAAATCTTAAAATATAAACATGAGAATTTAGAAACCGTAAAAAAAATACAACAAATAGTAATAGAAAATACTAATTTACCCACTTCTTAATCGCTGGTCCAACTAACTCTACAGTAATTTATTTCATTTTCTTCACTCGCTGGGCTACTAAAAAATAGATTTAACTAGAATCTAAAATCTTTTAATAAGAATTACAATAATATAACACACCAACTTACCTGCGCCACTTTCTTCTCTTCTCTTTTACATTCCAGGCCACGGCGTCGTTCTGGCTCCAGTATTGTCGTTATTGATGGTGACGATTTGAAGCCATGCCTACCGGACGACTATATCAGTAGTCAGCATTATCGGCAACATTCTGGTGACAGTAAAGAGATGATAGATCAGGAAATGTTGACAATGCTTTCGGTAAATCAAGATAATGGTGAGTGTAGACTGCCGTGCTGAAGTGAAGAAATAAATTCATTAATTTTTATTTACACCTTTTCCATAGGTCCACATCGTGAGATGGCTGTCGATTGTCCAGATAATTTTATCGCGCGTAATAAGACACCACCACGTTATCCGCCACCACACCGTCCACCACAGGTAAATAGTATTAGTAGTAGTAGTAGTAGCAGCAGTAGTAGTCTTAGTCGACTCGACGGCAAGTCTCGAGTCAAACTAAGCACTTCTGCTAAAAAGAAAAAGAATTTCAACACCATCGGCACAAGTCATTACTCAAATACCTTACCCAATAAGCACGATTGCATGCAAGCATTACAAAATAACAGCACATTCAACACACACACCTACACCAAAAAATCAAAATTCGCCAAATGTTCCAACGAAGCACAATCATCACAAACATCATCAACAACTCATTCATTATCCTCCACACAATCACATAAATCATCAATATCCATACGAACAGCATCATCAACGACCGAACCGTTAACATCTCCAACGTCCTCACCATTGCCAACACATTCACCACAACCACAACCACCACCATTACCTGATACATCCCCACCTCATATGCCCTTTGCACCATCCAAAAGTACTAAACTCACCATTAATGACACCAACACCAACACCAACACCGACACCGACACTACGCACACTAACCAATTCACCACAGAGTGTGTTGAAATATTTAACGGACTAATTGTAACGTATCATTCTAAATGCGATCCATTACAACAAACATCAAAAACATCAAAAATAACAACAACAACACCAACAACAACAACAACAACAATCACAACAACAATCACAACATCATCGAAATCATCGATAACACGATTATCGACTTATAACAAAAATAAAATCAACGACAACAACAACACGCTACTAAATGATACCAATACACTATTGCAACAACAAAATTTCTGTAATCAACAACAACAATTGAAATTGGAACAAATTGAAAATTATGAAAATTATTTGGCGACCGAAACGGAACCACTGCAACAACAACAACAACAACAACAACATGCACCACAGCCACCAACACAATACAAATTGAATAACAATACACCACCACCACAACAACAACAACACCAACAGACACTAAATGTCACACACACCAGCAGCCACAACAGTAACGGTAGCGAAAACGGCAAAAAATCATATTCGGGGCTTAACAACAAATTTGCCGCCGCTGCCACCAGCAACAATCCAAATGGCACTACCACCGCCGACGCCGCTGAGGAATTCGAATTGGTCGCCATCGATGGTGGTGGCGGCGGTGGCGTCGGCGGTAGTGGCGCACTGCTGCAACGTGCCGGGTCTTCGTCATTTTCCTCGTCCTACGAGGAGTCCATGAGCAAGAGCTCTTTCGATTCCATCGCCTATTGTCATTTACATAACAAACAAAATAACAATATTAACACACTGAACAACAACAATCATTACCAGAACAATAACACCACGAGCAATTCATCAAGTTCATCGACACCATCGAAGCGTGGCGGTGTATGTATCGTCGGTGGTGGCGTACTACAGGGCGGTTCTTTGCATAGTTCGAACGGTTCCACGCCGGAGGCGCCATTGATTGAGGGTCTCGGCGGCGCACCGCCTGAGTATGAGCTGCTGCCCTTGACGATATGTGCGCCACCTACGGGCAAGCATCGTGAACTGCCCGTCGATGTGCCGGATAGCTTTATAGAGATTGTAAAGACACCGCCACGCTATCCGCCGCCTCCACACCTGTCATCGCTCTCATCGCAATTATCTTCGAATTCATCCACTTCAACAGCGCACACAACACTGACGTACATCAACTCATCGTCGAACTCCTCCACCAACAATGGTAGTCACACTAATGATAACTCCTTTTCGCCCACGTGCTCCCCACTGTCGGGTGGCTCGTACACCGCATTGGCTTCAATTTCGGCTACTGCTTCTGGTCTCGTATCGTTGTCCGCATGCTCACCGCTCTCCGAACATCAGTCATCATCATCATCATCATCAGCATCAGCTACCACAAGGTCAACGTCAACGTCAACGTCAACGTCCGCTTGTCATCCACTAAAACAATTGGTTAAACAGAAGAGTCTCTTGTCGTTGGGTTCGTTGAGTAGCTCCGTTGAGAAATTAGATAAATCAACAGGCGCAACAACAACAGCTTGCCAGCAGCAGCAACAGCAACAACAACGCCAGCAACCACAACCACAAGTGCCAGTAGGTGGCGGCACAAGTGTGGTCGATGGCTGCTTAAGGGCGGGCAAAGCGGGCAAAGCTGGCAAGGAGTCAGGCAAGCGCAATGATGAGGTATTATCAACACTTGAATCCAATACTCTCTACTCTACAACTACTACTCCACCCTGTCCACTTCACTTTGTGTAAATGTTGTGCTCGCTAACTACACTGAACGGTTGCATCGGCAGAGGTCACTGTAGCCTGTCGCTTTTGGTGCGAGCCGTGCGCGTAGTTCCTTCACACCTACCCTCTATCGTTCTCTTTGGTATTGGCTGAACTTGTACGGGTGTATATGTATATATTTTGTTTTTCCGTTATTTTTCTTTTTATTTATTATATTTTGAACTCCTATGTTGTAGTTGTAGCCTTCTCGTAGTTTGATTTTACTTAGTTAAATATTAGTTTTGATGCTCCACATCTGCGGAGGAGAGGGAAACATATGTATGTATGTGAACGCTATGTTAGCATGAAGTATACCATGTTAGCACTTATCCTGCGAAAATTTTGTGATTTATGTCCACAGCTGGTTGAAGTGCGTCCTTGCCGCTCTGGTTGTCGACTTCCCCACTTGTTGAGCTGCCAAGTCCTATTGAATGGCTATCACCGCCTCCACGCTCGTCCTCCACGCTCGTCCTCCACGTTCGCAAATGTCTTTATCGCCATTGAAAGCACTTTATCATTTGCACACACGCTCTTACATTTCACTATCCATAAAAACTTTTGCGCACCCAAAATTACTCCAACTCGCATTATTAGCATTATGTGCACTTCTTTCGCCTATAAAAAATGATGTAAGTCGGTTTGTTAGTTTTTCCCTTTATCTCTGCTCTGTTCTGCTCTGCCCTGTCCTCGCACTTGAACCATCAGAGTGGCGTCGCTGCAATCACTGTTTCTGACGGCGCGGAGATATTATGATTTGTTGTATATTAAAGCATTGTTAAAGCTTGCGGGGTGAGTTGGCAAAGGGGATGGCGTACAATTACATATGCGAATCCAACGCGTGCTCTGTTGCTCGCGCACGCTGCCTCACTTTCGGCTCACGTGCATCTCTTTTGAAACCTCCACCAGTGTCGCTTTTACATTTCACTGTTTTCATGACAGTCGAGCATCGTTATGCCGCATACGGAAGCGGTTGTGTTGCGAGTGCGTGCATGACAGCGCCTGCTGTGACTGAGATTTCCGCCACATTTGGTGCTACTGAGCGCACATGTTGCGCTTAACATTTTGGCAATTGCTAGGACCGCACTGCATGAGCGACGCTTTGAAAATTCCCCCTTTTGCACGGCAGCGATGGCGGTACCAGCGACACTTTGTGCGCATATATGCCATGTCTTCCTGCCGCCCAAGGGTGGGTAATAGCGTATTTTGTGTGCAAAAGCTTGAAAAATATGTGCATTAAAGTGAGCTACATATGTACATATGTATACGCTGGCAGGTCACCAATTGTTGTCATTCTTTGTGACATTTTTTGTGGAGTTTTCCCGCTGCACGTGAATTTTGTAATTTTTTCTTTTTATTTCTTTTAGTATCGGCGAGTTGCGACTACTACTGGCGCGTGTCTTACATGTTTCGGCATTTCGATTGTCCGACCTCCCTACGCAGCGCGACATGCCTTTGCTTGTAAGATTATCTGTGATTTGTAATACGTTTAAGTGTCCGCACGTTTCCACGCTGCCACTCTTCTGCAAATATGGCATTTTTACTAGTGTAATTTTATGGTTCACCTCCACCTCGGTCGTTCGGTCGCGTTTATACAGCTACTAATGTTGCGAGCTCTATCGTTACTCCCACTAAAATGTGTTTTATCTATTTTTCCGCTTTTTTTTTTTTTTGTTTTTTTGCACGGCATTGGCCCTTAGCCATCGCTACTCCACATGGCATTACTTTCGCGTTGAGATAAATTGTAATATTTCAAATTCCAATCTCACTCGGCTATCTCCCGTTGTAAGCGCTGCTCTACCACTTGAGCTATGGAAAATTAAATTTCACATAAGAGTATTTTAGTAGTTGTACACATCCCCGCAGGCACGTGCAAAAATTTCTCATTTCCAGCGTCGCTTTTTGCTCTCTGTTGTGGTTGCTTGGCAACGAGCGAGTTCCTTTTAGTTCCCTACGACTGCCGCCGGAAATTAAAGCAATAATAATAATTTTAAATGTCGCCGCCACCGCTAACATGTCGCTCTCTCCCCACAAGCCGCCAGCGCTCGTTTGCATTAACGTGTGAAAATCGCTATTACCCATGCTGCCACCTGAGAAGCTGGCCAGTCAGCGTTGCATAGCAGCACATGTTGCAGATACTTATCGTAGAGTCAAGTAAATCGTGCCACAAACGCTGATGACGGTTTCTTATACGAACAGCTGTTGGTATAGTAATTGCATGACTAAGTATTAAAAGTATAGTGGCGGTTATTGCTGGCAACTATATACATATGTATCGCAACTGACCTGAAAACACCTCTTGGCCGTGTGCTTGTAATCGCGGTTTGTGGCAACTAATCTGGCATGTTGCAACGGCATGCGGGGTAAAGCATGCCGAAATCCCAAATTGACCCAATTTTTTTGCACTTTTTTCACTTTTTGCCAAAACTTAAAGTGTTACACTTAGCGCTGTGAAAGTTCTCTTTGCAACAAATTGCTCATTCTCAGGCAAAAGTTATCAGCGCGTATAAATGTTTGGTAATTCGAAAGTTTTCCTTTACCTTTGCACAGTTTAAATGCAGCAAAGTGTTTCTGAAGCCAGACTGCAGCGCCTCAGCAGCCACATTTAAGTGCCAAACTACGCGCGTCCATAATTTGAGTTGTCAAATGCAGGCGCAAGAATGCAACAGGTTCAAAGAGGCGCTGTTCAAATGCAACGCTGTAGCTCCAAGCAATATATTCCACGGTTCGTTTTCAAAATTTTTTCTTTTTATTTCATTTACTTTTGCAATACTCTGCTATTATTCACTATTTGTTTGGCATTTAAACACTTGACGTGTATTAACATCGCGTCGAACAAAATTTCTGGTTGACCCTTTCTTTAATTTTTTCTTTTTATTTTATAAATTTTTCAATTATCCTGCTGACTGCTACTGTTTCCAGTATATATTTGAACCATGCGTTGTGTGTAATATGCGCTCAGCAACATTTCCCGCTCTGTGTATGACACTGAAATGAAAGAAAAATATTAAATGTGCATAATTAAAAAAATAATAGTAATAAATAAATACTCACCTGTCGTATTTAAATGCCCGCTGCGCTCAGCTTGGACACCGTACGCTATAGGAAAAGCTAAAGTAAACACTTTTAACACTCTTATTTTCATTTAACTTTCACACTTACTTACTTACTTACAAACGTACTCACCCACAATGCTTACATAACCTCATTTTTAGTTTTTCGCCATTTACACACCACTTTCATAACTAACAAAATAACAATGCAGCAACAGCTAGAAGAGAAAAACTGCAATGAATACCACATTAAACGCCTTTACTTGTACTTTTGCTAATTCACCTTTTATTTGCATATGCCTTTACGTCAACAAAACAGTTGAATGGTTCTGTGAAACCAGTGCCACCGCCGCGTGATCACCTGCGTATCGAAAAGGATGGCCGTCTGATAAATCGTACGCCAGCGCCACAATTGCCCGATCGCCGTTTGGTCGCTGGTCAGCCGCAGCCGCAGCCACAACATCAACAGATAGCACAAATAGTTGAACCGACGCTGGAGCAGTTGGATAGCATTAAAAAATATCAGGTGAGTTTATGTAGATAATTTGGAATTATTTCACATTTTATTAGATCCAAGCGCGAGAGAAATATTTTTTAAATCAGCTGCGTCACTTTGTTGTCATTACTGCAGCACAGTAACGGCGCTTAATGTCATATAGTATAAATAAAGTAACAAAATAAATATAAGCACCCTAGGAGTATGCAACAATTTCGGCTTTTCCCTTGCCTATATGAGATGACTATGCGTATGCAGTGGCAGTAAAACTGTTCATATTGTTTCACAATGCTGTTAATAAATATCAAGTTTTTTATGCAGTCTAAATATGTTTTCCCTTCATGATTTAACATATTTATGTATAGCGTAAATTTTACGAGCGTTATTGCGCTTGAGTGAGTAAACGCATAAATTTGTGCAACAAAGTATTGCAATTTTGGCATATTTTGTGGGTGAATAATTTGATTGCATAGAAAGTGTAGCTATTTGAGTGCCGTGTGAGCGCGCTGTAATATGCGAGTGTGAGCCTGGCATTACTCGCCTTTGGTTGAAGTTTTTTGACACAAAATGTTATGAAGTGTAAAATTTGTATTTTTTCGCAACAAATGCATCAAAAGGAAAGAAAGCGCATTTAAGCAGCATTTGACCAATCATAAAGCAACACTCGCAAAACATCTAGTCAACTTTGGCACCAAAGTGGCAGTTCTACGTCGGTGCTACGCAGCCACGTCCGCATCACATTAGTTAGCCTCAATAGAGTCCAGGAACATGCAAAGTAAAGCTTAATATGGAAATTTCAAATATCACAGTGTGTAGAAAAAATCAAAAGTCCGTGGGAAAATATATGTATGTATGCATTTTAAAAGCTGCAAATAAAAGCGCAAAAGCCATAGGAGTTTGTTGGCAAACAGTCAGTATGCCAAAAAGGAAAAAATATGTAAATGTATGAATAATGCACGGCTGGGAAAGGAGGTAAACAAATAAAGTAATAAATGACGAAAACCCAATAAAAACTAAATAAAAGTAAAACAAAATAGCTCAGAGTGTGAAAATTGCAAATGCAATGAAAAATGATATTGAAAATTCAATGAAATCAACTGCAACGAAGAGTAACTGTTTCGTCTTGTCGATGAGCAAACAAATACAACAATAAGTGTAATTTGTAACGATACAACAAGCAGGATGCTATATATGTATGTATGTACATGCAAAAATAATGCAAGTGTAAAAATTAAATAAAAAATAGTAGCAGCGAAAGGTAAATTGACGGCAAAAGGAATAAAAATAATGCCAAGCAGTGTTACAGAAGTGGAAGTATATAAATAAATAATGCATGACTGGATGTGAGGGTGGTGAGTAATAGCAGAGTGGCAGCGCGGTAAGCAGGCGCGAGGACTATCAACGCCAACGGCATTGCAAGGTGTGTATAAAGTAATTGAGTACCCAGTAAGGACACGTTGGTGTGGCATAACAAAGCATTTACTTTCAGCAGTAGTAGGTGAGTAATGAGAAAGAGCGTGAGAGGAGCCTGTAGTGCATTACCCCAAACGTATCGGTGTTACAAACAAGAAGGCGAAATACAAGAAAAACCAAATGAAATAAAAAGAAGAAATGAAACAAAAAGAAAAAATAAAAACAAATGAAATAAAAAGAAAAAAAAAATGGCAGACGGAATGGCAAAGAGTGAAAAAATAAATAAATATAAATGAGAAACGGAAATGTCGAGCGTGACGCAAGCGACATGTAACAAAGCCCATTACGCTTTGGTAAATATTGAGACTGCAGCTGAGTTTGCTGGTAACGGTGAATTGCATAGAGCTTTTGAAATCAAACGAAATGGGAAACGCATTGTAGTGGCAAAACAGCGTTGAAGGCGGAGAAGAAGAAGAAGAGAAAGAAGAAGAAAAGAAAATCATTGTATACTTTGCGGCTTAACGTAACAAATGCAAGCGATTGATAGCGTACAAACGCTGGTGTTGCGTAAAATTTTACGCTCTAGCTGCGGAAATGGTATAAAAATAAAAAGATTTCTTTAAATTTAAATAAATATTTGATTGGATTAGTTTGCAAAGTGCATAAGCAGTAAAATTGTATATAGAATGAAGTACGAAAATCTTATGAATATTGACAGTGAGCTTAAGCAAAAGCTGCGTTAAGGAATAAATGGATAGAAAGACTGCAGTTAACATTGAATGGTTGTCGAAAGCATAAATTGGAAAGCAAAATACTGATGCTCACATTGATAATGTCTGAGAAAAAATTCAAGAAAAAAAAGTGAGAAGTGAGCAGCGGAAAGAAAACTAAAAGTGAGCACTAAGAAAAGAATGCGTTGAAAGGCGAAATTTGATCAGAGTTTAAAAGTTGAAACTCATAGTGAGGCAGGAGAGTTGCAAATTTTTTTCTTTCATGTCAGTAATGCGTTCCAGCTTTACCTCTATCTGCCTAATACGCTGGTTCCGTCACTTTTCCCGTTAGTGTAGAGATTGCTTACATAAGTGCCCACTCAACGCTCATAACCCCACGTACTTCATCACCTCAATTCGTTCGACGCCTTCAAGTATACCCAACTCAACTTAAGTATTAACTAAGTACTTAATCACCTACGTAACTATCGCAACAACTTTGCACATAAAAACTGACCTACGCCCAATTATACCCGATCTCCAACGCCATACAAGTGTTGTTGTCAATCCTTAGCATATTTTCTTGAGTCTCATGAATTTGAGTGGCGGAAACTTGGCAACAGCGTTCGCCTCTTTATGCTTACTCTAATATCAACAAATTGAGTTGAGAACTTTTCATATAAAAATAAATATTAGTTGGGTGTGAATTGCAAGGCAAACACAGCAACGCACAAGGCCGATGAAGAAAACTTGCTGAAAGTGTGTGTGTGTACGTGTGTGTGTGTGCCTGACAATAAATATGACAGCAGCAGCGTTTTGACAACTTCCGGCGGCCGTCAAAAGCAGTGGCATTCAAACTGTATATAAATAGATGAATGCTGCTAATAATAGCGCAGCGTGAAGAAAATTCGCTCTCCAAGGCCAGTCAAGTAGAAGTGATGGGACAAAAAATATGCGTGCGGAAGTGTCGAGTTGAGTTATGCAGTGAGTGGTTAAGGGTATGCGGACTCAAACGCCTAGCAATGAAGTGCCAAACTGCCAAACTGCCGAAGTGCCAACACGTCAAATGACGGAAATATGAAAATGTGTCACTTGAAAGTTATTATGCAAATTTATTCGTGAACACAATGCAAGAAAACGCATTGTTATCAGGCGAGAAGCACAGAAATGAGAGAGAACGATGAAGATGGTTGCAGGGCGTAAGTGAGTTGTGGCCTAGCATAAACCTTTGTTACTTAAGCAACTACCGAAATGAGTTTACCTCGCGGTCACCTCGTTCCTCTGCGCCCCTTTGCGCTGCGATCGATTTGGGTTGAGCAACTTATGCTACAAACGACCACAACCGACGTTACGCGCCCGCCCACTCATCTTTCGGTGTCGTTTACTTTTACCCTGCGCTTTGTGTCAAGTTATGCAGTTTATGCGTAGTCCTTCTGTCTCGTTTTATTGACACTTTTGTCTGTCTAAATTATTTACTTGCTGCCAGAGCCCACCCACTTTCGTGCTTCTTCTTTTTTCGGGCACTTTTGCTGCTTATGCGCCATCCATACTATTCTGTCATCGTGTGGTTTTTGCGCCTTTTTGTTCTTTCATCGCACATTTTTCTTTCGCTTGACCCATAACTTTGGGTGTGTATGAGTGAGTTTTGCTTCTAAAACTCGCCTTCGTTTTGCCGTCTTTTTTTACGATGGCGCCGCCGTCGGTGTGTCTTTCGACTCGCCGTGTCTTGATGTGCGTTCATCAGCGCGATGTACGGTCGAGTTCAAATGTTCGAAGAATTATGTAGCATCGTGTGCTATCTTGTCATTAGTTATTACTGTTGGCTGGTGTTTATGCGGCTGTGGCTGGTTGAAATGCTGGCGGCTTGCTAGTCGTCTATCTAAAGAAACTGATGCTATGTGGTGTGCTTTGGCATGTCTTACGTGCAAAATAATTCTTCAAATTATCTACTTTCATTATACCTTTTTGAAGAGTATAAAGCGTGCTGAGTCTGCCGTTTTTTGAGCCTCTCCTAGAATTAGCGCTAACTTTTTTTGAAGTTTCGATATTCCTAAGTTTGGTCTAGTTTCGACGGAAGCTCGCACTGTTAGGTGGTCGAAATAGTAGTTTGCTTAGAAAACTGAGTCGCTTTGTACTAAGGGCTGACTGTGGTAGTATTTTACAGACTCTTCCTGGCTTCACGCCCTTACAGTTGGTACAAAAATAGAGTCATAATCCATTCTTCTTCCTGATTTGCTATTCTAAAGTAGAGTTTTTTGTAAAATTTTAACTTCAGGCCTATTAGAAGGGCTCCGAGTTGAAGGCAGTGGGATAGAGATGAAGAACGTTTGAGGAAATCAACGACAGTACACTCGTATTAAGAACATTGGCAGTCCAGTAAGCTTCACTTCATTTGCCTTATCGATAGCCACATTACAAGCTTGGTGTTCATTAAAAGGTCTATGAAATTTTAACACTTTCAAAGACTATGAAGACTCACCTGACTTCATGTAGAGAACGAACGGGTTGCTCGAAGTTTAGTAAGGCTTGAAATGACTTTTTACTTCGGAGCAAGCTTTTGTTTTTATTGCGTGTGCTCAGTTCTCAACACTTCAAACCAACAAAATCACCCTGTACACCTTTAGTTTTTGTTCTTTTTCCTCGTTACTTTTTATCTTCATCCACATGCAATGTAATGTATGTTAATGCGGTTAAGCAGAGCTTAATGTGTGCACAAAAATAGAAACAAATATTTGCTACAACAGTGAAGATGATTATTTTTCGACCGACAAGCAATTGTTGGAGTCGTTGGAATACATCACTATGTAAATATAATTGTATGTATATCTAACCTGCAATGAAATGTACATCTAGAAACTAGTTACACAACTGTATTTAAATCATGCAAATCTCTATTTTGAGCACATA